GAACCCAGCAACTGGGTTCAATGACCCGAGGAAGAAGAGGAAGAAAGAAGAGGAAGGAGAAAAAAGAAAAAGAGAAAGGAAGAAGATGAACGTGAGCTTTTTTATTTTATTTTTTTAAAATATAAATAGTAATAATGTGAGTTGGCATAAAAAAAAAATTCACGTCAACACGTTTTCGATTTGTTTTTTGTCACGTCATCAAAAAAATTATAAAAAATGCCACATAAGCGAGTTAACGATCGAAATTAACAGAAGGACTAACGGAGTGCATTTCGTATAGTTGAGGGATCAAAAAAGTGCAAAAAATTGTTGAGGGACCAAAAATGCTCATTTCATAAAGTTAAGGGATCAAATTAAGCATTTAACCATTATGAATTGATTTTTTTCTGTTCTCCCATGTGACTGGGAACGAATACCTCCAAAAAAATGGGACCTCCAAATGTATTATTTTGTTGATAATGGGTGGTATTGATTTTTCTTTTCCTTTGTGGTTCCCAGCAGCTGTTCCTATGGATATGGCTCTGATCTTACTTTATCTTTAGTGGAGTTATCTTTAGTACCTATTCATTATTTATTTGTTGATTTTTTAATTTTATGATTATTTAATTAAATTTTACTAATTATATTAATTATCAATACTTGATCAAATGATACAGTAACTTTCACCTATTATCTTATTTTGATGCCCATCTGTTGGTTGTTGAAATGCCCTATAGATATTTTAAGCCAAATCTGCATATAAAATTTTAGATTAATTTTACTTAATCCTTCTGTTACTCTATTTATCCTCTTTTTGGTTTTTTTAGGATGCCTCACTTATGATCCCACGTTCCGGTTTACTTGCTACAATCACACTAGTTACATGTGCCAACTCCGTGACATCCCTTTCCCTATTTTTCAGGTACCATTAATATGTACCAATGGCCCTCTTTAACAAAATTACACCTCATTTATCTCTCATTCTAATGTTCCCCCGTGAACCATTCGTACATACCAACAACTCGTTCACCAAAAAAAAAAAAAACAACCATACCGATAACTCTGAGGGGTCACCTCGGTAAAAGTTTTCTCCAGTGCAATTGTGGTTATGAATTTGTTGCCCTCTGTTATAGCACGTGGCTGTCAACCAACGAAAGTCTAAATTCTGAGTAGGCCAGGCTGGGAAAGAAATGAATTGCATGGAAATTCAATTCTGAATGCAGGACTTTTGCAGAGACAAATTGGTACGCCATCGGTGAAGGGTGGGACCTCTGACACGGGCAAAGGTAGCAGCTCAGCTTTTACTTTTGCTCTTCGCCACCATCAATTGTTTGCTGTACATATACTTTTTAAACCAAGTCTGGACAAAGAAGAATGATTGGTTGAAGTTTCTTTTGAAAAAAATATTTGAAAAACTTGACTAAAAATCAGCTTCGCTTAACCTATAAAATTAAAATTTTTATATTAAAATTGAGATAAAATATAATTAATTATAATAAAATTGTAAGTAATTATATCAATTTAATGGCAATTGGCCCTTCGGGCCAACGGCGTTGGGGCCGCTTGCAGTGCATTTGCCTCTCCTTATGGTGGGTTCGATACCC